ACTAAAATTATTGTATGGATACGAATATAAAATGGTAGGTAAAGTAACTCTTTTATATAGTCAATATTACCAGAATATTTGCTAAATGATGACAGACGTAACTATATGAATATTAAATCTCACTATATCTGTGAATGAGAAATTACCATATATGTGGTAAAAATAACTAAACAATTATTTAAGACAATCATTGACTATATATTTGTGTTTATTCTACTATATTTTGCAGGTTCCGCTATGAATAATAAATAAACTATGAAACTATAAAAATATGGTTGACGCCAAAATGAACTATAAAATATAGTGAGATTATAGTTAATTCAACTATATTTTTCTATCAGTGTAAAAAATCGGAACTTTCATTCCACTGATTGGATATAACTTAAAAACCGGACATATGACGTCCGTTTGTTTGACTTATTAACCGAACACTGGACGGGACTTCTGAAAACCTGACAGTCCGGGTCAAAACACCGGGCAGTTGGCGACCCTGTGTGACTACTACGTCCTTTCGAGTTGTTTTACGCAAGGTGTCTCCTCTCTATGCAGATTTCCCTCGTATCGCGAAATTCGCTTGAAAAAGTGCTGTTTTATTAACGCGTTAGCTGCCGGCGAATGGGCGATCAGCTGTGACCGGCGCCGTATAATTTACACGTAAAATGTCACCAACCGTGCACAGTGCGAATTAAATATATAGCCGATATATATATATACACGGGGAGTCGATAAAAGAAGCTCATGAATATATGCATCGCGAGCCTCACTTATTTGCCGTATCTTTCGGTGATTCACACTTTAGAGCGCTCGGCGTTAAAACGGTTGATGGAAATCAGCGTGGCAATCGTGACATGTTAACAAGTTCTATTTTTAAACGATCCTCCAAATACTTGGAAAATCTAACGGTGAGTAGAATAATCGCTCGTTCTCGCAATAATGTAATACATGTAATCGATTACGCCTTCGCGCGTGATTGTCACTCGACGCGTTTGAGTATCTTTCAACCGATCTGCCGACGTGTTTGGTCGCTCGCGTACTCGCCGGATATCCGCTGATTTCTTCGAAACAAGCTATCTCTTCGTGTTTTCCGCCATTGAAAGAAAAAGATCGATTGGGAAAGACGGCTTGCACGCAAATATACAAGTGCGAAGTCCCACTTCGGTGGATCTTGTTGTCTTCTGTCACGTTGCAGATGCGTATATCACGATGCAGTTGCATGAACGTGAGAAATGACATTCTCGCAATGTCGCATAACATCGGTTGACAGTCGAGCTGTGAATGTTATCGCGTGTATATTTTTGTAAACACGCAAATGTTAGCTACATAATAACGTAGTTCCGGGATATGCCAGATAAATGTGCTCCAAACTCGTACAGAGGCGGACGTTGAAGTTAGAGACCTCCTTCCGATCTGGAACGAAAAACTTTTCCTTGCCGCAATTTATGCAGTTAATAACAGTAATAATAATAATAATAATAATAATAATAATAATAATAAAGCGGCGACAGGCCGTATCAGGCGAGTTGCATATGTATAATGGAAAATGCCGAATTTTCATCGTCATCATTCCCGAAACTTCGCTCGCAAGGATTTGCGACCGAAGGAGATAACGCAAAGAGAAACAAAAATGGATCAATGAAACAAGAGATACTTGATAAATATCGGATCTTTTGAAAAATCAGGTGTCAGGAGCTACGTCGTCGTCTGCTCGAGGAGCTCTCGGAAGAGAACCCTCTCGCTCGAGAGCGTCCTTCGGCTGCTATTTCACGCCTGCTATTATGGCGAAGGAATTTGAAAAAAAATACGCTTTGGCAAACCCGCGGCCGGTTGCCTCATTTATTATTATTATTTATGAAAAGATACGATCGGCGGTTGTGCAACCAGAGCCGAGGCGCTCGCGCGCGCGATATGCGATGCTCCGTTCTTCGACTTCGTACCGCGTGGATTTCGCCCTAGCAGCGAAGGCGTGATATATCATTCAAGCTGCGATTTTTCGAATCATCAGCGCGGCATCTGACACGTCCGTGTGGGCGTTGATATCGGCGTGAGATTTGCGCGACGACGTATCGACCGGGGCCATCCGTCGTAACGCGTCGTCGTTTCTACGTTACGACGGTCACGTGTGTTGCCTCGAGAGTGGGACCTCGATTAATGTGACGAGCGGCACGTGTATTACGCATACATCATTTTTCGATGGGTTCCGCAATGAATGTATCTAAGTATGTGTGAGATCCCGCCGAGCTAACCGGCTGCCTCGGCAACATTAGCATGAAACGTTGGATTTATAGTCGGCTGCGATAACTTTTCTCTTCTCTCTCTCTCTCTCTCTCTCTCTCTCTCTCTCTCTCTCTCTCTCTCTCTCTCAAATTTTCTCTCTCTGTCTCTGTTTTTCTCTCGGCGCTCGTCCCGACCCGTGTCGATTCGCGACCAACGTTCATCGAACAGGATGTGCCAATCGCTTCGCAAAGATTACTTCGGCGATTTAATTGAAAAAATTGGGGTCGTTGAGAGAGGAGGCCGTTTCCCGGACTTCTGACTCACTCCGGAGGACGCGTTCTCTACGACGTAATTCTCGTTCTCCGCGTTCTCCGCGTATCGCGAGCGATCCGCACAAATTTGTTTTCGCGTCAAGCGCGGCCGTAATCAGCCCGTGCAGCAGTTAAGTGATTCTCAAGACGGGAAGTTAAGTGACTTTAAAGGAACTGCGGAGGCGTCGCCCGGCGCGTCGCGTCGCGTCGCGTCGCGTCGCGTCGCGTCGCATCGTGTTGCATCGCGTCTCGACTCGTCTCTCCTCCGTGGATGGTGATTCACCAAGCGCGTCGTCCCCTGCTCGTTTCGACGGCGCCACTTCCGGCTGCTGGCTGCTGTTGCTGCCGCCGCCACCGCCGCCGCCACCGCCGCCGCCGCCGCCGCCGCCGCCGCCGCCGCCGCCGCCGCCGCCGCCGCCGCCGCCGCCGCCGCCGCCGCCGCCGCCGCCGCCGCCGCCGCCGCCGCCGCCGCCGCCGCCGCCGCCGCCGCCGCCGCCGTCGCCGCCGCTGCACCGACGCAATTCTGCGCTTGGTGCAGCGACCGGTGCATCTCGTTCCGGAAATACCACGTTAAAATGCATAAACTCGTAGGTTCCTTCTGCGCGTCGGATCCTGCTCCTCGTTGCAGAGCTCGTCCCGCCGTCTCGCGCGCGTTCGCACAGATTTCTCCAAACGGCCACTTTTGCCGAGTTCTTCTCCCCACGAGTAGAAATCCCCCTCCGCGGTCCGCGTCCGAATTGAATTTATAATCGCATCTCGCAATTAACATATTAATCTCGTCGAGTTAGAAATCCGATTACGAGAGCGAGTCGATCGAAGAGTCCCTCGAAAGTGCCGAGATCAGCCGCGAGATTTACGCGCGTACCGGCTGTCTTCGCAACTTGTGTGTTGAGCGGCCGGCGCAACGGCAACGGAACGATAAACTGTAGTTCCTCGTAAGAAAACTCGCGGAGAGGTAGAAAGGTAGAAAGTTCCCACTGTAGAACCGGACTCGGTAACTCGGCGGACGAGAGGCGCGCGCGCGCGAGAGTTCTCACACCCTCTCGCGGTCTATTATCCGTCGTCTGCTTGAATGTTCAGTGGTCGCGGCTCCAACGAGCTAATTTTACGAGCGCCGACGACTCGTCTGGTCTTTCTCATCGTGCTAGCGGGGAAGGGAAAAGGGTTCGCGCTCGCTGCTTGTTGCACAGCCGTGAAATAGTAGCCTAGACTACTCTCAGTCTGGACTCGAGGAAGCCCCGAAGCTGAGGAGAAGCGCCGAGGGAAGAAACGCCGGGACAGGAAAGAGCCGGAAAATACAGGATGCGAATAACAGGAAAAAGAAGGAAGGGAGAGAGAGAGAGAGAGAGAGAGAGAGAGAGAGGAGGGGGAGGGGGTGAAAGGGAAAAAATCCTCTTAAAGGGGATGGGCAAGAGATGATGCTGCGGAAGGGCTGTTTATTCAACTGAGCCGAGAAGCCAGCGGCGGCGTGATGACCCGAGAAAATTAGATAATTTCGATGTCACGTCCGCGAAGTAATTATCGCCTTCGACCTCGCCGAACGTAGCTGAGGAGAAGCAATTAAGCGGGCAGAAAGTTCAGCCGGCGAGACCGACCTCGTGAGGCGTTTCGCGCTCTCGAGGGGAAAGTCGAGATTTCGACTGCCTGCGATCACACGCCGCCGAGACTCGTAACGAGAGACGCAATCAAGCGTAAAGCGTCATTCTTGTTGCGTGAACCGCTTGAACCGCTCTCGGATCCTGCGAGTTACATTGTTGGTTTTCAAGTCCTGCCGGAATTTCTTCTCGCCGGAAGGAGAAATCTCCGCGAGAGGGAAACGATTAGGGATATTATTATGTTATTAGGTACTAGAGATGTGTGCGAACCATTCGAATTCGAAACGAATCGAATCCCTATGATTCGAATCCGAATAATTCGAATAGGAATGAAATACATTATCGTTTGCGTGAATCAGCTACAAAACGGGCCATCTGGGCCCGTATGTTTGAACCCTTAACTTGTAATTAACTTAACTTACGTATATAATTAATAACTTAATTGTAAGTTACTTTAATTACTTAATTATTTAAATATATATTTTACTTTAAGTTGATATTACAATATCAATATTCCCTTTCATATTAAAATCTTCCATCGTTACATTGCATGTTTAATAGTCATGTTAAATTTTTCAATGATTCGATTCGATTCGCATTAGGTATATATCGTTGTTGTGGAAAAATCTGTGCTGCTATTCCCATCAAGGTCCTCGACGACGTTTCTCAGGGAAATGATTCGAGCGAGCGGACTAGACAGCGATTCGCGAAACTTCCATCCACAAAACTTCCAAGAAACGAGAATGTGCTTCCGGCAGTTACTCTTTATTCGCCGCGTATGTGCGTTGTAATTGTCCTGCGCTATTATACACGCAACGTTACGTAAGCGTTAAGCCCGATGATGAGGCTTTAAGGAAACTATTATGCGTTTTGTTTCCAGGCGAACGTGAGCCAGGTCGAGTACGAGAGAGCGCACAGAAAGTACCTGAAACAAGTGCAGCTGTCGCACGACGGACAGGAGTCTAGAAAGCGGCGGAGCCTCCACGTATTCGAGCCTGCAGGTAGAGTCACATTTGTACTTTTGCTGGGGGAAAAAAAAAAAAAAAAGAAAAGAAAAGAAAAGAAAGGAAGAAATATATACCGGCTGAGAAGAATCCGCCGGAAGCCCGCGGCCATAATTTTACAATCGCGCTCGCGCGCGATCAATCTCTCACGCTTCTGTATATCTCCCTCCGCTTGTTTTGGCAAATGACGCTCGGCAAATAGTCCTCTTGGTGCGCGCGGCTCGCCCGCTGAACACCTACTAACTAACGGTAACGTTACATCAACGTCATAATTTCCCACTAACTTCCCACAGCGCGAAGTGAGCGCGCGATGGAACACATGTTGCACGTAACAATTACATTGTTGAGCGAGAAATGATGACATTGATGTAACGTGACTGTCGGCTGCTAACGTTACTGGCTTAGAAGCGTTTCCATTTTCACTCGACCGTCCTGGATTCGTCGTAGCAGCGGGGAGGCGAGCCAGATACGAAATCGCCGATCGATTACAATTGTCTCGGTTCCCACGTTTTTCCGCTTCTCCGAACGAACGAACGAACGAACTCGCGCGAATAGAGAGACCGATTGCGTGCAAACAGCGCTGTGCGCACGCTGAGTGATTTTTCGCTCGCGCTACAGTGTGTGTGAAAGAAAAATAAATGCGGGAAATAGGCCTGTGCAGGCTGCGGCGGACACGGTTGCAGTTATATATATATATATATATAATTACGCATAAACCGCCCGCGCTCGCGTACGTGTCGTCTGCCGCCGTCGGCGGCCGCGGCCGCGGCCGTTCCCGATTCGGCCGCTTGGGAAAAGCGCTAATTATAAGATCGCCGATCGATCGCGCGAAATCGTGTCCCACGTTTTTCCGCTTCCCCGAACTGCGAGTCCGCGCTCGCGCAGTTCGGACAGCGGACAGATCGTCCGGCCGACCGGCCGGCTGCGCGCGAGTGAAAAACCTCTCGCTATGGCGCTATGGTGTGTCCAACAAAAATAAATGCGGGAAACGGGCTGTGTGGGGCTGGGCGGGAGGGGGGGCCGCGAGTTATCCCGCCGGCGCGCCGTGCCTGTCGATACGTCACGGAACACGCCGTCGCGGAACGCATTGAAATCCCGCGCCGCGGTCTCGATGTCGGCAGATCGATCGTCGTTCAAGGATGCGCGCGCGCGCGACGAGGCGAAAAAAGTAGCTCGCGCTACGAGCAAGAAAAAGCCCGACGAGCGGGGACGAGCACGCGAGGGGGAGGCCGAAGAAAGCAGAGGACACCGCGCGCACGCGACCGGCTGATATTTACCCGCGGTGTCGTCGAACTCGCGTCGATGGGGATTTCTCCGCTGGCGAATTCTCGCGACAGGCTGCACGTCGCTGCGCTTTTTCTCGCGTCGCGTCGCGCGCGCGCGCGATTTTCATCATCGACTGATCGCGACCGATCGGTCGGTCGGTGGGAATACCCTCGCGCACGGTAGGAAGAAAAAGAAGAGCTAGCGGAAGCCGAGATCTAGAGGCGTGTTTCTTCAAGGATTCTGCGAAAATATACGCGCGCTATTATTGGACGTCCACCTAATTTCTCGTAGCGTTGCGTAGAGAGGAAAAATCGCCGCGCGCGCGCGCGCGGAATATTTCACGCGCCGAGAGCCGCGATACGCGTTCGCTCGCAAGCTCGAGGAAGTGCAAGCGGAATTTAACGTCGCGCGCTGAAAGCTGCCGTGTGTCGAGTCTCAACGACGTCCCGTGATCGAAAAGGCCGCGCCGCGCGCAGACGAGGACGTAACATTCGCTTTTTTGGCCGCTTTACGCTCGTCGTCGGCCTTCGATGTCCGAATGGAACATCGCGGCGCGATGCAACGCGGCGACGTGTAAACGCCGCTCATAATTCGTGAAAACTGAGCAAATATTTCGCGCGCGCGCGCGCCAATTGGCTTTCGCACGGTGCTCTTTTAACGGTGCTCACTCGACGACTCGATTGATCGGCGATCTCGCTCGATCTCGTTTCCCATCGTCATTCATGGATAAAAGTTACCGCGCGCGGATGATTGACGTTTTACTCTCGGTCCTTCTCTCTCGCACTTGCGAGATGAGTCCGCTCGTGCTCCACTCGTGAACGGCTCGCCTCTCCTCGCGAATTACACGCGAGAGTGTGCCACCACGCAAGGACAAATGCGGTCGCGTTCAGCTACCCCGGACAATTAAGCGCGCTTAATTCGCGAAATCTGTGCGGCACGACGCCGACAAATTAAGACGTGATCATTAAATGAATGCCGCTCGCCGGTAAGAGCGCGCCGGCGACGGCGACGGCGACGGCGGCGGCGGCGGCGGCGGCGGCGACGCGCGACTCTGCTCAATTACGGTCGCCCTGAAAATAGTAGGTCAAAGAGATAAAAGTCGGCACGCATCTGGACGGCCGACCACCGTGCGCGCGCGCTTTTATGTTGAAGCACCGCGTGCATGCATACAAGCGTGTACGAGTCGAGTGGATTCGAGTCCGTCCGAGTCGGAAACCAGTCTCTGAAGTGGGTACTCACTCGTCTGTACGTGTGCGCGGAGCGCGAGAGGAGGAAGAAGAAGAAGAAGAGAAGAAGAAGACCTTTCTTCTTCTTCTTCTCCTCCTCCTCCTCCTCCTCCTCCTCCTCCTCCTCCTCCTCCTCCTCCTCCTCCTCCTCCTCCTCCTCCTCCTCCTCCTCCTCCTCCTCCTCCTCCTCCTCCTCCTCCTCCTCCTCCTCCTCCTCCTCCTCCTCCTCTTTGCCCCGATGGCTCACCTCGTCGAAGCGCGCGAACGCGAGCGAGCACACGGTAGGCCCTGTTGATGCGCTCACGGACGGCTGTTATTATGAAATAGAAATTCCGACCGCGGCGGAATGCCGAGCGACGAGTTCCCCAATGCAATAAGAATGAGTCGCCGCCGCCGCCGCCGCAGAGAAACACTCGCCAAGAAGAAGAAGTAGTCCTTGCTTTATTCGCAACATGCGACGGGACGGGTGCGCGCGACTTGCGAGTGGAGTAGGCCGATACTGCTCTCGACGGAATCCTGAAGAGCGCCGGCACCCCGCGACCTCTCTCGAACCCCCGTGGGTCCGTCTCAATTAGGGATGAGGAGGACCGACGAGCTCTCTCCCTCCCCCCTCTCTCTCTCTCTCCCTCGCACGAGCGAACTTATTAGTCTCTCTCTCTCTCTCTCTCTCTCGCGCGCGCGCGCGCGAGGTGCTTATTAATCGCGATTATTAACCGGCGAGGTGGGCAAGAAGCTAATGAATGCAAAGTAGCCGGGGATATTAAGCGCGACAGCAGTTGAACATTTACAGGAACCTCTCGAGAGCGGCCGTTTATCCACCGATGGAACGTCCTCGAGCATCCTCCGGGCGCGGAGGAGTGTCGTTTGCGAAGTATACACGGGGAAAACAACTTTGTTGATACAAGTAAATTCTCTTGCTCTCTTGATCGGCTTGAGAGCAGACGAAAACTCGCTTGTGAGAGCAGAAAGATTTCCCCGCGGGAGCTTCCCGTGTCTCCCAATCGGTAGGTCGCGCAGTCGGTCGTTATCCTGATCGAGTTTCAGCGTGGCCGAATGCTGGGACGAATACTTTCAGCCGCTCTGCAACAGATGCGATTTCTCTGGCCATCGCGAGTTCTTGTCCGGTCCGTTCGGTTCGCACCAACCGAGAGATCTTCTCCCCGCATAATCGCGATTTTCGATTTTCGAATCCGCGAGGAGCGCGCGCCGTCTAAACGGCGGAGTGTTCGACGCGGATTGCGCGGCGGAATTTTATTTCTCGAAGTGCATTGCGAAATGTCGGATTGATCGACTAATTTCGGACTTCCCGGCCTGAGAGTAGTCGCGCGTGTGTGAGTTATATCGTCGTCGGCTTCTATTGAGTATCTATTGTTCCTCGGATCACGAATCGTACTTTGTCACCGACGATGATTAAGACCGCGTAAGAGGAGACGCGCAGCTCCGCCCCGTTTCTCGCGCTCCTCGGCGCCGAGCTGTGTGATTCCCCCCGTGAGGCTCGATCCACACTATCGGTTCGTTCACGGTCCGATCGTATTCCTAAAATGTTCACGCTATTGAATCACTGATCGATCCGCTTTCGATTCTATCCTAGACGATCGGTGTAGTTTCTGCCTTGTTCGCTCTCTTTTGTAAGAAACATTAATATTTTATCATATTTTCCTATATATGCTCATAATTAATTTCTAATTATGACACGATATACTACATATATATACGTACCTTCTTCAAATGACCACAATTTTTCTTTGTTCATACTTTCTTATTCCTATTATTATTATTATTATTATTTGATACTGCTTGAGAGTCACGAGACTGCGAGAACCGCGAGTCTGTGAAAACTGACGGTGGATTGATCGAAAGCCTGTTTACATTACCGATACGATTCCGGACAACTTCGGTCACGCTCCGGCAAAATGTTCTTTCGAAGGATCGTTACTGGAGCGAGATCGGACCGAAACTTGAGCGTTACCGATAATACGTACGTTATAAACAGTGGAAAAATATTTGGTCGGAGCGTGAGCGGATCGATAGTGAGTGGATCGAGTCTGAGATACACACACACACAGCTCCGTTGCAGTCCTCGCGCAGCAATCACCACGCTGATATCGATCATCTGTCCTTCGTCGATGCCTCTCAGGCCGATCGGAATTCACCGGGAATTCTTCCGCTCGCTTCTGCGTACCGTATCGCATATCGTATGGCGGCAGAGCCGCGATCTCCTCCTCGCGACTCGCGTGGCGATTCTCGTGCACGGGGATGGCAGGGGTTTCGCGCATGTTTCTAAATTTAATCGGCACTTTCGATCGCCGCGAGACCTCAATTCCGCCGACCGAGCCATCCTCGAGTCGGCGGAGCGCCTTTACGGCGCTAGTTGATCGGATTCCAGTTCCGGGCGCGATTTCGGGGAAATTCGCCTGTACGCGCGCGCTCGCGTGGGCCGGTCACCTGCGTGTACGCCGCCCCCCTCGCTCCCCTCGGGGTTTATTTTCGGAGCGTGCGTCGAGT